TGGGGTGGGCCTGGAGGGAGGTCCCGAGGGGCCGGGAGGGCACCCATCAAGGGGGAAGGGAGCAGCCCAGCAGTCTCACCCCGCCCCCAAAGGAGCAATAGACCCCTGAATCCCGAGGCCAGCACATCCAGCCTCTCTCCCAAGCTGCAGCCAGAGGCTGCAGGGGCTGGACCACATCTGCACAACAGCTCACGCCCCTCCCGTGCCCCACGGCAGGGAGCACATGCCCTCAAACGTGCACGTGCGCACACACACACATACCCATGCCCACACACGCACACACACTCACACATGCGCAGGCACACCTCCGAAGTACCAAGTGCAGGCTGAGATGACTGCCTGCTGGGTGTCAAGTTTCCCGGCAGCAAAAGAAAGGCTGCCCGTTCCCTCTCCTGTGAAAACCCCTGAGTGAAAATGCCGAAGAAAAACTGTAGGTGCAATGGAATCAAAAGGAGAAATTCTCAACGCACCCTGGTGCAGTGCTCAGGCTTCTTAAAGGTCAGGGAAGGAGCGAAGCTCTGGGAAAGGCTCCCCGGCCCCCTCACCAGCAGCCCCTCCACCGACTGCCCTCAGGGATCCGCCCATCACACCCCAGGACCATCCACGTGCCCTTTGTGGGAGCACAATCCGAGAGACCCTCTCCCCTGCCCCCGCCTCAGGGCACCTGACACCCAGGCCAACAGAAGCCAGAGGGCGGGAGGGGCTGGGGAAGCAGAGAGAAAACCAACTGCGGGACCTGCCTGACGGCCAAGGTCACAGCCAAGACAATCCCCGCGGGGAACACTGTCTGTCCCATCCTGGGGCCCTCTGGTGGCACGTCCTCCACCCACCCGCATGTGGGCACACGGCAGCTGCTGCGTGTGGATACGGAGCCCTGCGTCTGGGCAACAGCGTGAAACGACCCCAGGTGGGTGTGTCACGCGCTCATCTACGGATACAGTTCCTGGTGACATGCTACCCACAGGGACCCGAAGGGGCCGTACCAGGGGTGGGTATCGAGGGAGGCCCGGCAGACGGAGCAGCCCCGGGACGGCTGACCCAGCGCCACCCACGGGCTCCAGGGGGTCCTCGGCCCTGCGGGAGGAGGCACTCTGAACCAGGCGGAGCTGCTCTGCCTGCCTCCCCAGGCCCACGACCTCCTGGCCCCGATGACCAACCGTCCGGGCCGCTGCAAGGCTGGGTCTATCTTAAATCCCCGTCTCCAAAGCGATCTGAAGCTCCCACGTGCTGCGGGTATTCTTAGCCTGGCTGCCAGAGAGCGCCGCACAATGCCGGCCTTTCGGAGCAAATGCCATGCTGTTATCGACACCGGGCTGTGCGCGTCACTCTGACACACAAATCACACCACCAAAGTAGCAACAGACCCAGAAAGGCTCCAGAAGACGCCGTAAACCTGAGTAACTCGACACTTTCAAAAAAAAAAAAGTGCTACTGAAATACCCCAGAACGGTTGTGATCAAGCTACTGCAGACGCAAGAGCACGGCATGATTCGGGAGACAGACGTGGGAACGGATCTGCCGGAGAGCCCCGCCCCACAGGGTCCAGGGGAAGGCAGGGAGCAGGGGCACCACCTTCCCGGGCATCCTGAGTGGCTCCCTGCACCCCCAGCCCAGGGACAAGAGGACACCTCACCAGCCCCCGCACCCCACTCCTGCAGAGGTCCACGTTGACCCAAGAGGGAGTGCGGCCTCCACACGACGTAAACCTCTGTGCACGGGGGCTCCCAGGGGCTACGGGGTCGCTGTGCTCCCAGAACCCCAGTCTCCTAACAGCAGGGGCCACCCGAGCAAACCAGGGGTGCAGCTCAGGGGGCAGGGGTGCTGCGGGCTGTCCTGGGGGACAGGCAAGCGAGGGGAGCAAGGTGCCGGCCCTGTCACCCAGGGGCCGCTGGCCCTCATGTTCCCAGCACCCTCTCTCTGGGGGACATTCCTCAAACCCAGTCCCACTGTCTTCCATCCGCCCTCGGTCCCAGCCGCTTCTCAGAGGCCCCCAGCCGCTCACTCCTCCCTGCCCCCCCAGAGAACACACGAGGGCCCCAGTCTCCCGAGGCCTCCCCACCCCCGGGCAGGCCTGCATCTGAAAGCCCAACCTTCCTCGCCCAGCAAGTGCGGGGACCCAGCAGCGCCTGCTTGCTTACTTGTTCTTTCTTTCTTTTTTTTTTAAGGAAAAGGTGGGTTTTCTCCCCTTTGTACCCCTCTGGCTGGGAGGCCCTGACCAAACCCAGGGCTAAGAGCTCCCACCGCCCAAGGGCAGCGGCTCCGTCTCCCCCTGCTGCTGCTTCCGGGGGGCCTTCAGAATATCACTGCCACTGCCGCTCAGAGGAATCTACGAAAGGATGAAAGAACCTGGGAAATTTCCAGCAGCGCACAGAGCCAAGCCAGAGGGAAGGGCGGGAGCGCCATCTAGCGGCCCTCGGGGGAGCCGCGCTGGGGCAGGACTGGGACAAGGCCACTCAGAGACCCGGGCAGACGTCCCTCCTGCCACCACCCCACCCCATGAGACACGGCCCAGGCCAGCGAGCTGGGCCCAGTAGTGTGCGCGCGCACACACACACACACACACAGGTACCCCACACAGATATCTGACACTCGTCGCACACTGGTACCTGATCCACACATATACACACTTATATACACAATACAAACATATAGATACCTGACAAACACACACACAGATACATCACACACACAACACACACACAGATACCTAACAAACACACACTCACATACACACACATAGGTACCTGAGACACATATATACACACTTATACAACACACACATACATACGCTCATATGCATACTCAGACACACACACCCATGTATATACACACACACACTCATACACACTGACACACTCATTTGTATACACACACACACACACACACACATATGCGCAGAAACATACACTCACACACCCCCTCGGACGCTCACACGCGCCCTCACATGCACGCACGCAGCCCCAGCCTGCAGATCTATCTGCACGGGGAGCCCGAAGGCCACTCACCGGCACTCAGCCCGCCAGGCCCACGGGGAGGACGCTGCTGTGCGGAGCGGTGGGCAGAGCCCCCAGGGAAGCACCCCACAGGTGTGGGCCTGGCGCAGAGCAAGGGCCCCTCCCGCCAGGCCTGGACTGGGGCCTCCGTGCTGTCCCAGCCCAGCCTTGCCATGGGGAGTCAGGGGGACGGGGCGGCCACGCAGTCACTGGGGCCTCCTGGGCAGCTCGGGGACGGCACCCTGACCAGGAAACCCCTCCACTCGGTGCGCAGGACCACACTGCAGGCATGAGGCTCAGGCCTTTGTTCAACCACCATCACCAAATATACCAATCTCTCTCCAAATCTTTCCCCAAAAGCAAATACTTCCCCACCCAGAGGTTCCAATGATCAAGGGCTCACGTAAAGCCACAGAAGGCCACAAAAGGGGAGGAGTGGACTGAAAACAGGAAGCCCGTGGAATTGTAACAGGATCCCAGCCAACGCACAAAGTAGCACCACGCGAAGGCCAGGGGGTCTGCGGCCAGCAGAATAACGGCCCCAAAGATGGCCGCAGCCTAATCCCAAGACCTGTGGACATATCACCTCACGTGGCAAAGGGGACTTTGCAGGAGGAATTAAGTTAAGGTCCCTGAGACAGGGATGACCCTGGATTACCCGGGGAGCCCGGTGTCATCACAGGGTTCCTCATAAGAGGAGGCAGGAGGGTCAGAGGCAGAGGGAGGCGGGAGATGCTGCGCTGCTGGCCGTGAGGATGGAGGAGGGGCTGCGAGCCAGGGATGCGGCGCCTCTAGAAGCTGGAAAAGGCGGGCACCGATGCTCCCCTGGAGCCTCCGGAAGGACCAGCCCTGCCCACGCCCGGATTTAGCCCCGTGAGGCAGTCAGCCTCCTGGCTCCAGGACTGTCAGAGAACCAATGTGAGCTGAGTTAAAGCCGCCAGATCTGCAGTCCTTTGTTACAGCAGCCCTGGAAAACTCACACGTGTCCCCAGCCTTCCCTGCCCATCTGAGTGGGAACCGCTGCCAGACAGCGGGGCAGGGGCTTCACTCGGTCCACGGCAGAGGCGAGGAGAGGGTGGTCACACAGCCGACGGCCGACAGGGAGACCTGGCTTCCCACCCGGGTCCACTGCTCAGAGGGCCTGCTCCCGCCCCTCAGCAAAGGGCCCCAGAACGTCCCTGTTGACTTAAGGGGGTAGGGGGCCCTCCCCCAGGCCGGCAGGCACAGGCTCAGCCACGTGGGGCTCAGCTCTCTGTTGGGACAAGACAGGGGCGCCTTGGCCAGGGTCCGCCTGGGTCCCTGCTGGGTGGCCCCCCCAATACAAAGGTGAGGGTTCACTGGCTGAGCTCCTGAACGCCTCTCTGCTCCCCTGAGCCGCGATGATTATTGTGACAACAGAACCTTCTAACAGCTGGGGAGAGGCAGGGCGATGCGAAGCCCCCAGCTCAGAAGTCTCTGCTAGAAACACAGCGAACAAAGACGGCCTCCTGCCGGCCCCCTGGCAGAAGCTGCGTGTCAGGGGAGTGCTCAGCTGGGAGATTCCAGAACACGACCGCCTTGGCAATCTGCCCCAGCCTGGGGGGCCCATTGCTCACAGAGTGCCCTGCAGGGCCCAGCATGCCCGCCCACACCCTGCAAACGGCTAACACCACCCCCCAATCTGGAGGCCAAGAGGGAGGCGAGGGGAGGCGAGGGGAGGCTCAGGCACAAGGCCGCCCACTCCCCAGGCCCGCGGCCCCAAAGCCCCCAGCACAGCGCGGCCCTGAGTGGCGTTACCGGAAGCCTGGCAGCAGCCACGTTCAGTGTAAGGTGCTCTGAGCGCAAACCACAGGCTTCGGGGATCTGTAAGCGCGTTTCTGGGGGGCGTGCGTGCCCTCAGCTAGCGGGGGCTGGGCCGGCGGAGCCCCCAACCCCGACCTCTGCCTGCCCTGCCCGACAGCCCCAGGTGCAGCCCCAGGAGCCACTACAGCCCCCACCCTCGCCCATTGGGCTGCGGCCGCCCCTCACCAGGACTTGGGCTCCCCGAAGTGCAGGTAGTTGATGCTGTACAGGTCCATGTCCTCCGTGTGCCAGGCGAAGGTGGTCTTCCACATGCCGAAGTACAGGTAGGGGGTGTTGACGCCCTCGATGATGGTGCCGCACTCGCGCTCTACCATGTCCAGGATGGTCCGCAGGTTCCCGATGTTCCACTGGGCCACATCCTGCATGGCGGCGAGCACACGGTCAGCCTGCCGGCCACCCCGGCCCCCAGCGTCCCCCACCGTCACTCGCCCCCAGACGCCAGCAGTGAGACACCTGCGTCATTCCCTCGGAGCCCGGGCTGCGGTGTGACCCCCTGCCCAGGGCCCAAACAGCATTCTGCCCCACACCTGCCTGCTTCCGAGCCTCGCCCACCCCAGGGGTCCAAAACCCACCCTGGGCTGCGCACACCCCACAGGCACAGGCCCCCTGCCCTGGGCCAGGCGGCCAGGCAACGCTTCCCCTGGACCCACGTTGAGCTGTGTGTGAATCATGGGCGGGGAAGGCCTCGCTGCGGCCACGCTTGGTGGTGAATAATTCACGTGCCGGGAAGTCAGTGACACAGAGGAGGAAGAACATGCCGAGCGGGGCTCCCAGTGACGTGCCAGACAGGCCTTCCCGCACCTTCCCACAGCGGAGACGGGGACGGCACTCAGAGCCAGGCAAACGAGCGAGGGATCCCCACCCACCAGGCTCATCTATTCCTAACGCCACGAGCAAACAAACCCCGTTTTGTCATAAGAGCTCGTAAAACATGCTTTCATTGACTTCCAGTCCCCGGGGAAGCCTCGGGGCTGCTGAGATGCTGGGTGCACGGCAGCGTTCCTTCATGCCCCAGATCCACCCAGTGCCACCCACCGCGTCCACGTTTTAGGCCCGACTTGGCAGGTCGGTCTTTGCAAGGTGAGCTGTGGCCAGAGCCCAGGACATGGAGGAGGGCCACGATCAGACCCCCACCGCGAGCATGAGAAGCCCAGGGTCGCCTCAAGTGGAAGATGCCCAAGACTGGGGGCACCAGCAACCAGTCGCCTCCCCAAAGCCCTGTCCATTTGCCACCCGCCCCCATCCAGCCCGCATGGACAGGGGACCCGGGGTCTAGACTAAGCTGGGCGATAACTCATCATGGGCCAAGGCATTCTCTGCTCTGGGCCTCAGTTTCCCCTCAGTACAAGGAGACTGTGGTACTAGGTCAGGCACGGCAAACACATGGCGCCAAAGCCCCAAATCCTCTTCCAGAACCCAGGGCAGGCTCACCCACTGAGCTTTGCCTCGGCCCCGCTGAGCTTGCACTGGGCCTTGGAGCCCTTCGCGGGGCCGTCACTACAACCGTCGGCAGCACGTGAGAGCAAACCCAGAGGTTCTCTAGGGACAAGCCTCCAATTTTTGAATTTTTATTTAAAAACAAAATTTGGGGTCCTCAAGAGAATGAGAATATAAGCCATAGACTTGGAGAAAATCTTAGTAAAACATAAACAACTGTTGTCCAAAATATACAAAGAACTCTTAAAACTCAACAATGAGAAAGCAAACAACCCACATAAACACTGGGCCGAAGACCTGAACAGACACTTCACCCAAGAAGATACACTGATGGCAAATCAGCACATGAAAAGATGCTCCACATCATCAGGGAAATGCACATCGAAACCACAATGAGGTACCACCACACACAGATAAGAATGGCCAAAATCCAGAACACTGACGACACCAAATGCTGGCGAGGATGTGGAGCAACAGGAACCCTCATTCATTGCTGGTGGGAATGCAAAATGCTCCAGCCACTCCGGAAGGCAGGTTACAAAACTAAACATACTCTTACCATACGCTGCAGCAATTACGCTCCTTGGTATTCACCCAAAGGAGTCGAACGAAAACTTATGTGCACACAAAAATCTGCAACGGCTGTTTACAGCAGCCTTATTCGTAACTGCCCAACCTTGGAAGCAACCAAGATGTCCTTCAGTAGGTGAATGGTTAGAATAAACCACGATATATCCAGACAATGGAATGTTATTCAGATCTAAAAAGACATGAGCTGTCAAGCCATGACAAGACACGGTAGACCCGTAAATAATGGGTTGGCCGAAAAGGTCGTTCGGGTTTTTCCATAAGATGTTACATGTGACTAAGGGGAAAAAGCCAATCTGAAAAGATTATATACTGTATGATTCCAGTTATAAGACATTCTGGAAAAAGGCAAAACTATGGAGACAGTAAAAAGATCAGTGGCTGCCAGGGCTTGGGGGAAGTGGAGTGACGAACAGCTGGAGCACAGAGGCCTTTTAGGGCAGTGACACTATTCTGTATGACACCATAACGGCAGAGACTTGCCATTATACACCTGTCCAAAGCCATAGAAGGTATGACACCAAGAGTGAGCCTGAATGTCAACTACGGACCCTGGGATCAGAGTCGCAGACAAGGGACTCAATGTAACAAACACACGGACAAGGCATCAGTGTAGCAAACGCACAGCTCTGGTGGGGACGCTGACAGAGAGCGAGGCTGAGGGTGCAGGGGAGCAAAGCACGTGTGGGGACTCTCTGCACCCTCCTCTCGACTGCGCCGTGAATCTGAAACTGCCCTAGAAAAGATACCTATTTAAAACTAACAACAATTATTATTATTACTATTATTATTCAGGATCCCACCTAGCACCAAGACTACACAGTGGGGGAAAGAACAGTCTTTTCAATAAATAGTGTTGGAACAAATGGTTGTCCACATGAAAAAGAATGAATTTGGACTCCCTCTTCATACCATATAAAAAAACTAACTCAAAATGGATCATAGACCTAAATGTAAGAGCCAAAATTATAAAATTCTTTGAAGAAAACATAGGGGCAAATCTTCACGACCTTGGAACTGGCAAAGGATTCTTAAATAAGACACCCAAAGCACAAGAAATAAAAGAAAAAATAACAAAAAAATTGGACTTTATTAAAATAAAAACTGCCGTGCTTCAAAGAACACAACCAAGAAGGTAAAAAGACAACCCACAGAACGGGAGAAAATACTCACTAATCATTTATCAAGTGAGGGACTTGTATCCTGAATGCATGAAAAATTCTTACAACTCGATAATGAGAAGACAAATAACCCAATTAAATATGGGCAAAAGATCTGAATAGACATTTCTCCAAAGAAGATATACAAATGGTCAATCAGCACATGAAAAGACCCTCAACATCATTACCACCAGGAAATGCAAATCAAAGCTACAATGAGATACTACTTCACACACACCAGGATGGCTAAAATAAAAAATACAGAATATAACGAGTGTGGGTGAGGATATGGAAAAATCAGAGCCCTCAGGCTTGCCTGGTGGAAACGGAAAATGGGGCAACTGCTTAGGAAAAAAGTCTGGCAGGTCCTCAAAAAGTTAAACATGGGGTTACCATGTGACCTGCAATTCGCCCCTGGGTAGCTGTCCAAGAGAAATGAAAACACATGTCCACACACAGACTTGCACGTGAATATTCAGAGCAACATTATTCCTAATAGCTAAAAAGTGGAAACAAGCCAAATGTCCATCAGCTGGTGAATGGATAAAGAATATATGGTCCATCCATACAGTGGCATATTATTTGGCCATGAAAAGGAGAGAAGCACTGATACTCACTACAACGTGGGTGGACCCTGAGAACACAACGCTTGCTCAGTGAGAAAGCCAGACACAGAAGGACACACAGTGTGTGATTCCATTCATGCCAAACGTCCAGAACAGGCAAATCCACAGAGACAGACAGTGGGTTCGTCATTGTCAGGGACTGAGGAGGGGGATGGGAGTGACTGCTAACGGGGATGGGGCTGCTTCTGGGGATGGTAAGAATGTTCTAAAATTGTGGTGATGGCTGCACAACTCCGTGAATATACAAAAAAACACTGAATTACACGCTTTAAATGGGCAAATTGTGTGGTATGTGAATTATATCTCAATAACGCTTAAAAAAAAACAGTAAGTATGATAATCAACAAATAAATAAAACCAATCCAACTAGCACTAACTTTCCAAAACTCTACATGGAAAAGGACAGGTCATTTGACAATCAGGCATCTGACTCCACGCCCACCTGTACACGAGCACATGAACTTCAGTTATTCCATCCCATCAGGCTGCTGGGGTCTAATTCCCTTCCAAGAAGTCACGATCCATAAACCGAGCAGCAGAGCCGCAAGCTGGGATCGGGCTGGCGGGAGGAGCTGGGCAACACCAACCCCCAGGCACCAAGGTCCACACTGTGGCCAAGTCAAGAGGACAGCTGGCCGAGGTCACAGGGCATAGCCAGCTGGGGCCACCGGTCAGACAGCCTAGATTCTAACACCTGCTTGGGACTGGACACAGAGAGTGGGACTCAGCAAGTTTCCCAGCCACGGAGCCTCGATGTCCCCACTTGGAGTTGCGGGGAAATCGCCCGGTTGCTCTAAGGACTAAACATGGTGTTTAAAGAACAGAGGCGCGGGACTTCCCTGGTGGCCCAGGGGTTAAGAATCCGCCTGAAAATGCAGGGGACACAGGTTCGAGCCCTGGTCTGGGAAGATCCCACAAGCCTTGGGGCAACGAAGCCAGTGCACCACAACTACTGAGCCTGTGCTCTAGAGCCCGCAAGCCGCAACTACTAAGCCTGCAAGCCACAACTACTGAGCCTGTGTGCTGCAACTACTGAGCCCACATGCTGCAACTGCTGAAGCTTGCACACCTAGAGCCCGCGCTCCGCAATGAGACTCCACCGCAATGAGAAGCCCGCGCACCACAACCAAGAGTAGCCCCCGCTCGCCGCAACTAGAGAAAGCCCGCGCGCAGCAACGAAGACCCAACGCAGCCAAAAATAAATTAATTTAATTTAATTTAAAAAAAAGAACAGAGGTGCCTTCCTGCCCAGGACTGCGCCAGGCCCTGCCTGCAGAGGCCCAGGGGAAACAGCCCTCCTTGTGTTCAGAGACCAGACGTGTCCCTGGGGACACGCACAGCGGTCCTCCTGCCCGAGCAGCTTCCAGGAGGAGCCGCAAACACAATGAAACCGGAGAGGGTTGGAAGCCCAGCACTGATCCTGGGCTGCCAGGGAGGGTGGTCCAGGCCTCGGCGGCCTGGCATGGGAAATGGGGGCCCTGGAGGTTGGCCCCTCTCCCCGGGCCTGGAGGCCCTTGAAGAAAGCAGAGAAGCAGGGGAAGCAGTAGACAGGCCCCAAGAGGCCCCAGAAAGCCCTGGGGCCACAGCCCTGCCAGGCCCCCCGTCAACCCGACCCAGGAACTTCTGCACTGGCCCAAGGGCGAGCTGGCCCACGGTGCTAAAACACACCTGTGTAACCATAAAACCTGCCACGAACAAGGTGACCAATCCTGGCATTCAGAGGTGCGTAGCCGGGAGATGGGGGAGGTGCGCCCGGGTGCGGGTGCAGGTGCCGGCGGGAGTCGACGGTTAGGGACCTGGGCTGCAGAGCGTGCAACAGGGCCTCTGGGGCCGCGTCCTCCGAGCAGGTGCAGGCCTGCTCCCAGGGGCTGCGTGCTCGCTGGGAGAAGGCCTGGCCTTGCAGGTCATCTGACCCTTTGGGATCAAGGCCAAGAGTGTGAGCTCAGGGTCCGGGACACGCCCACTGAAGGACTGCCATGCGCCCGCCAGGCCCCATGTTATTGATGGGGAAACCGAGGCCCAGGAAGGAGGAAGCAGGACAGGGGCAAACTCGGTCTGGACCCCCGGGGTGAGGGCATCTCCCTGTAGTTCTGGGGGCAGTGGGTGAGCTCACTTCGAGCTTGACCTGCATCTTCCAGGTAACAAACTAATGCCCTCGGCACCATGCACCACAAAGTGGACCCACTAACGGAAGGTCCGGGCCCAGGTCAGCTGGGCTCCGTGAAGCCGGTGAAGCGAAGCACTGGCAGCGATCCGTGCTGGGACCTGAGCGGCAGTCGTGTGTTTCCCACGCCTTTTGGGAATCACAAGCCGCCTGTTCTAACAGGCTCCTCCCCTGGGCGCCAAGGAGGGTCCCAACCCTTCTCAGGAGGGGACTTTATTCCTGCCCCCACCTCCCCGCTACCCAAGAACAGGTGGCAGCTGCCCTCAGGGGAGAAGGGCTGAGCCGACAAGAGTCTTCCCCTCAGGCGACCTTCAGGGGAACAACCGGGGGGAGCACGCAGGGAGGCAGAGGGGGCCCCCGGGGAGTGGAGAGGGCCAGATCCTAGCCCAGGGTACCCCGTGCAGAACGCACCCAGGAGAGATTCAGGCTTCAGAGCTTTGAAATTAACCCCGGTAGATCCATCCCAGGGCTATCCGAGGTCCCATAAATATTTATAAATTGTCCCCCCCAAAACACGATCCCACTCAAACCTCCCTCTGCTTGATGCCAGCACCCTCGGGGACCTCGGCATCAAGCCTCGACCAGGGCCTGTCTCGCCCTTGGACAGGCCGTGGGCGGCAGAGGCCCAAAGGCCGAGGAGCAGGGCCCTCCCAGCCCAGCAGAGGGACTGGACGTGAGTGGACCCAGGGGTGGCCTGGATGGCTGAGAACTCGGGCTCCCAGGTTTCCAGGAAGATGGAGTGACAGAAACTTGAGAAGAAAAGCACTCAAACAACCGAGAATTTAGAGAGGCCCCTGGGAGAAGGGACGGAACGCTCGATGTCATCTTTTTAGAACTGCGTTGTGGCCGGGCCGCTAGGTCAGCGGCTGAGCGTGGGATCAGGGGCAGGGGCAGCACTATGACCTGGCAGGGAAGATTCTGCAAACCTCTGGCTTCTTCCTTTCATCCTGAGCTGGCACGTGCCTGCAACCAGAGCCCAAAGAGAAGGCCCCGTGGAGCATTCCGTGTCACCCCAGCCTCTGTGGTCCAAGGTGGAGCCCGCTCGCCCCCTCCACACCTCCACATCCACCGGGACGCCTAGGGGCCTCAGTACTTACGTCATCATACAAGGAGCCACTGATGTCAGCCCCATAGATGGGCGACACGAAGGTGAGGTTCTTCCAGTACTTGCGCTCCAGGTCATCGAAGTCCTGGTGCCGGGGGGTGCAGTACCTGGGGACAAACCGAGCATGTGGGGCTCAGGGCACCTGCCAGACACACCGAGGGAGGGGCTCCGCTCAGATACCCGCCCTCCCGGCAAGGGCACGGCCCCGGAGCCCACGGATGAGCTGTGGTGACTGCCAGGCGGTGAGGTGGATGGACGGCGGGGGGGCAGCCCTGCCTGGAACGGTACCCAGGGGTCCCGTCTCGCCAGCTATCAGGGCCCGGGGCCCCCAGGTCAGACCACACGCCAGGGCCACGGGAGCCGGAGGAGGGACCTGGGTTTTGACGGTTCTTGTCCTCCTACCACCCTGCAGACACCGACAGGCACCGTGGTGGCCAGGGACAGCGCATGAGGGGACAGACAACGCCTGCTCTCACAGGACGCTTGTTTGAGAGCAAAGAGACTGCCAGAGACGCACAGAAGACCTCAGCGACTGAGGGGGGCTGGGAGCTACACAGAACAGGGGGAGTGAACAGCGGTGCTGTGTGCCAGGGAGCGTGCCCGCATGCCATGAGCGCCCACGACGCGCCTGTGAGCTCCCGGGAGTGTGTGCGCATGCCCAAGTGTACCATGGCGAACCAGGCACTTGGGGAGACGTGCCAGGAAGCCCCTCTCTGGGGAGGTGCTGTCAGAGCCGAGACGTCCTGGGGCGGGGAGGTGCTCCGGGGACAGGGGACACGGGCAGGCCCTGAAGGGCCGGCCCCGCAGCCAGCGCTGAGGGCAGCGTGAGGTGGACAGCGTGGCCCTGGGTCGGGTGAAGGTCTGGATTTTGCCCCTAAGAACCGGGGGACTGTGAACTGGGGGTGCTGAGGCCCACCTAGGGCACACAGAGCGGGCTTTGTGGGGGCTGCGTGCGCCCCGCCCTCCGCACCCCGAGCTGGCGTTTCGCCCGCCACGCCACCCAGGCCCGCGTACTTCTCGCTATTGGCCAGGCGCCGGTACTCCCCAACCGTCATGGCCTTCTTCTGGATGTTATACTGCGTGAAGAGGCCCGACTGGCCCGTCACCACCTGCTGGATGGGCGCCGGGATGACCACGTCGTCAATGTCGTCGTATGTCTGCCGTGGCTTCCACTCCTTCGGGGGGATGATCTGTGAGACGGAGCGGGAGGGTGGTCAGCGGCGCCTCCCCTGGGCTCGGCCGCTTGGGACTGGGTGAGGGGCAGGGAGAGCCTGGGGGCACCTAGCACCCCCTGTCCGTGTCACCGAGCTCCCAGGAGACCCGGGGCCAGGCCTATCTGGGCACCACCCGGCAGGGTAGGGGGTTGTGCCTGCCTCTGCACGGGGCCAGGGCCTGGAGAAGTGGGAGCAGCCCCAGAGGACGTGCGCGATCACAGAGTGAGCAGATGTGGGCAGGCTGGGCTGTGTGCGCCCCTCGGCCTGGGATGCACTCGCTGTGTCCCAGGGGCTCTGCTACCGCGCCCTCTGGCCACCACGTGCCCGGCTCAGGACTCCGCGCAGATGAGGCCCCAGAGCAGAGACCCTGGTGCCGCAGTGCACACTCATTCCAGCGCCCTCGCTCCAGTGACACCTACTGGGGGCGATCGCAGCTCTAGGTGGTGGGGAGACATGGGGACACAAAGGACTCAGGCGAGGGCCTGAGCCCTGACTAGAGGGCGCAGGTGATAAATCCCGGCGAGAAAAGGAAATTGTAGGACAGTAATAAGGGTAAAGCGGGGCTGGGTGAGCCGCCCAGAGGCAGGAGGTGGGGGGCGGGCAGTGGGGGGTGACAATTCCAAGTGGGAGGAGGCCTGAGAAGGTCACACTGCAGCCCCCACCACAGCAGGCGCCACCACACCCCTCCCCCAGCAGGTGGCGGCAACCCGGCCCACCCACCCCACCCCAGGAGGGTGCCACGGATGGGGATGGACCTCCCCCTCCACGTTTCCTCTCCACCAGTCGGGGGTGACCTCTGTGCAAGCCCCACAGGCCCAGGTGGGTGTTTGCAAGCCCCGAACCTCCTTCCAGGGCGTCCAGTGGGCCACCCACCCAACAGCTCTGGGAAAAGGAACTAAACCAACCCATTTTTGGTGCATCAGCCACGCACCCTGGGGGAGCCGAACCCTCTCCCAGCTCAGGGCCACCAGGGAAGCACACGGCGCTGAGGCCCGAGTTGGCCGACAGCTCGGGAGCGGCTAAGTCCACTCACCATCCCCAGGATCCCGCTGTCACATGGGTGCAAAGAAATGTTTTGCTTGGCGACGAAAACACTGACTCTCCAGTTCCTGCTAAAAAGGGTGCTGCCCACCCACGACTAGCACGCATGGGGGTGTCCACCCACATAAATCAGTAACAACGACAGCAGCGACGATGAGAAAGTCAGCGCTCCTCACCCGGGCAGTCCCGCCCCACGGGGAACACTGGGCCATGTCTGGGGACGTCTGTGGTTGTCAGGACTGGGGGAGCTCCTGGCATCGCGGAGGTGGGGGCAGGGAGGCTGCTCCACACCCCACAGCACCCAGGACAGCCCCCCAGAGAATGACCTAGCCCTCATGTCAGCAGTGCCAGCAGGACCCTCATTTAGAGTTAGATGGGGATGAGCCCCCTCCCAGAAGACACAGCTGTTCAGTCACAATGCCACAGGCGCCTGGCGTGACAACAGGGTGCTGGGCTCAGCCTGCCCGTCGACCGTTTTGTTAGATTCCCAGTGAGAAATCTGAAGAGTCAGGTTATGAACTAAAACACTCAAGGCTAGAAATGCAAAAAATAAAAAGGAGAGAGGGGGACTTCCCTGGTGGCACAGCGGTTAAGACTCCACGCTCCCAATGCAGGGGACCTGGGTTCAGTCCCTGATCAGGGAACTAAGATCCCACACGCATGCTGCAACTAAGAGTTCGCAAGCCACAACTAAGGAGCCCACCTGCTGCAACTAAGACCCGGCGCAACCAAATAAATGAATATTTAAAAAAAAAAAAAAAAGAAAAGGAGAAGAGGGCCCATGCCTCCAGGATACGGGATGTTCTTGCAGGAAAATGGGTTGTGGGCTGAGGGATCCGGGACCCCGAGCTGCTCTTTAACTACGTGGCTGATGCCTCCTCGTTGCAGAAAAGCCTGAGTTTCCTCCTGGGGAAAGCGCAGTGACCCTGGACCGGCTCCCCCGCCCCAAGTGTGTTGGAGAAACGCCTCCCTAACCAGGCTGCGGGATGAATGGACCACTCCTCAGCCCTCCGCTCTCAGGGGAGAGCCTCGGGCTCAGTCCTGTCCCCTCGGGCTCTGCTGTGTGACATCTGGACACTGGGGAGGAGCCGGCAGATGCTCCCGACACCTGGCTCACACGTGTGAACTGCACTTTCCCAGGCACACGCTAAGCGGGTTCTGGAAAGGCGCATGAACAGAAGGCCACTGGTCTGGAACCCGAAGCTTCTGGAAAAATCCCACGGCCTAACACCCTCAAGTCTCCGCAGAGCAGGATTTGAAAGGAGGCTCTCCAAGCAGAGGACACCTGAAGGATGTCCCCTAAAGGCCCATGAGCATCCCCACTGTGTGGCTCTGGACGGACCCTGACTCGAAGCTGCTAGGGGGCAAGACTCAGCCAAGGCCAGGAGGACCGAGAGGCCACACACCCAAGGGAGCGGCGTGACACCAGGGAGGTGGCCAGCTTGGCGGGCAGCTGGGGCAGGTGTGGGAGACCCTTCTAGAGGGAAGGAAGTGAGGGGCCGGCCTCTGCCCCCCAGAACCAGCTGGACCCAAAGCCATTCTGCTGGCAGCAGGCCTGGAGGCTAAGAAGAGCCAGGGCACCGCCTGGCTGCAGGGCACTGAGAGCACTGACGCCCCTTGACCCCTCCCCAGGACCCTAAGCCACGCCCCTTCCTGGCTCCCTCCCTCCCCCAGCCCTTCCCAAGCAGCCTGAGGGGGAAGGAGCCCAGCTGGACACTGGTCCCAGAGCACACTCAGGGTGGGTGAGGAATGTGACCCACCACCCCGATGGCCCCAGGGTGGGAGCCCCCGTACCCAGAGCCCCCTCAGCTCCGGGCCCCGGCCCAGCCGTGCCTGCTGAGTGCCCACCCCGACCTAGCTGCCCCAGGCCCGACAGAGCTTTTGTCAGGGGGCTATCAAATGTAGCTTTGATGAAAAAAGAAACCTCAACACCACACACACACACACACACACACACACACACACAGAAGGGCGGTCAAGGCTGATGAGACCAGGGTGAGGGGGACCCCGGCAACTACAGAACTCGTTCAGGCCAGCAGGACACCGTGTCCCTTCTCCAAAGAGGCTGGCAGCCCTCAGGGCTGACGGCCCGCGTCGGAAGGAATTGGGGGCACCGAGGGCCGTGGCACGTGCCTCCCTGGACCCGTCTGTCCCCGCAGTAGCCGGGAGGCCCCAAGGGGCTAGAGGCACCTACACGCCGTCCCTGCCTGACGGGAGCAGGGATGCTGGTGCACGCGTGTGTGTCGGCGTGACTGTCCCCACAGGATCTCTCAGCGACAGCGGGGGAGCTGCTCCCAGCAGCCCCTGCCCGCCCTCACCGTGCCCTTCCAGAGAGAATTGCCCTTGCCAGAGAGAAAACAGCAAAGAAAATACCACTTAAGAAGAGTGGAATGGAACATGCAAACAAAGGGCAGAGGGGGACTTCCCTGGTGGCGCAGTGGTTAAGAATCCGCCTGCCAATGCAGGGGACATGGGTTCGAGCCCTGGTCCAGGAAGATCCCACATGCTGCGGAGCAACTAAGCCCGTGCGCCACAACTACTGAGCCCTCGTGCCACAACTACTGAAGCCCGCATGCCTGTGCTCCGCAATAAGAGGAGCCGCCGCAACGAGAAGCCCGCACACCTCAGCGAAGAGTAGCCTCCGCTCACCACAGCTAGAGAAAGCCCGCACGCAGCAACAAAGACCCAACACAGCCAAAAAAACAAACAAAGGGCAGAGTGAAAATGTGCCCTGAAAACATCTGCCTCACAAAAACATCCAGTCCGAATGGTTTCCCGTCGATTCAAGTAAGTTAGTGGAAAACTGGTCCACGGGAATTAAAGGCTTTAAAGCAGAGGCATGGGGCTCAAAGGAAAGGCAGGAGCCGGCAAAGGAGAAGAAAAGGGAAGGAGCAGAGCCGGGGTGAGGACGTGCAGGGGAGACTCGGTGACGCCACACGAGGCTGCACCCAAAGCAGCCCAGGGACAGAAGGTGCTGGCAACAGCCCAGAAGCCGAAGCCAGAGATGGCAGAGGAGGAGGGAAAGGAGAGGGGCCGGGGGAAGTGGCAGGTGCTGCCAGCGGAGCACTCCACGAGGTTACCAAGACTCCTGGCACAGGGGACAACTTGGATCCAAAAACAGAACTGGCGCTGCATCCCGGCAAACGCGGAACGAGGTGAGGGACAGGACACATTCCAGGTGAACGGGGGCCCCCCATGCCCAGCCCCACGGGCACCAGGCCTCTGAGTCCCCCGCACCGCCCCCAGCTGGGGCACCTGAGGGAAAGGGGCACCTGACAACCGACCCCAGCCAATCGGTCCAGCCCAGAGGGAGGCTCCGAACCTGCAAGAACCTAGGCCCGGGGCTTCCAGAGCCACAGACCCCGATGAGAAGGCTCTGCTGGGTGTGTGCTGTCATGGGGCCCAAGGAACGAAAACCAAGGAGAGGGGAGAGGAGGTAAGATGTTGCAGGCCCACCTCTCTCCTCATCTGCGCGGCTGAGATTAAAGGCATGGATGTCACACAGCCAACCAAACCCGGCAGGGGAGGTGGGCAGAGGAAGGCCAGCACACCTGTCCCCTCGCTGCAGACACCGTCTGGGGACAGACCACCGTGACGCGCGGCCCAATACCACCCACCACCTGCTTCCGTCCAGCCACGGAGCTGACGCTGGCATTCTTTCTGGGTTTTTTTTCATTTTTTGAAAAGAAATTTTTAAATTCTCTTTTACTTTTTAAAATTTTACTTACTTATTTATTTTTTGGCCACCCCATGTGGCTTGTGGGATCCTAGTTCCCCGACCAGGGATCGAATCCAGGCCCTCGGCAGTGAAAGTGCAGAGCCCTCACCACTAGACCACCAGGGAATTCCTTTTTTAAAATTTTTAAATGGTTGAGGGAAAATAACAAACGAAGACTGTTTCAGGACAGGTGAAAATTCTACGAAATGCACATTTCGGTGTCTATAAATCAGGTTTCATGTGCTCACAGCCATGCTTGTGGGGTTGTGGGTCATCCCCGGCCGCAGAGCTGAGTGGTGGCCACAGACAGTCCAGCCCAAGAAGCTGAAAATATTTACTATCTGGCTCTTTGCAGAAAAGGTTTAGCGAACCCCAGCTTAAATAATAGAGGGCTGGGTATTAGATAAAGTGCCAGTCATACAGGAAGCAACTAGAAGAACCCAAATCAGGTGACAAATCTCCCAGATTATGTGGTGAGCAGACCCTCACACACACAGGTTCACGTGCACATGAAGAAACTCGGCACCCGTCCCCAAGGTCTGTTCCCCGCACAGAAGAGGCGTGGGCAGGCATGCTATCTGCCGGTGTTCACACACGCACACACGCACATGCACGTCCACGTGTGATGCTCCGTGAAAAGAGACACGAGGAATCAGTGCCGTGCCGCTCCAGGCAGAGGAGCCGGGGTCAGGGTGGGTGGAGGGGGAACTCATTCTCCCTCCTACCCTGTCGCAATGCTTGAACTCGCTTCATACGTGCATTACAGTCTCAAAAAAATGTGTTTAAGTAGGAATATAAAGGCAAAAAGTAAGCCCTCCCCAGCACCGACTCCCCTGGGACCCCCCTGATGGGGTGAGACGGCTGCTGGTCCCACCATGATGCTCTGTGTCCCACCCAGGATCAGCGCCCTCGGGGACCCCGGTGCCCAGAACTGTGCCTGGCTTGGGGAAAGAACATATGTTCATGGATAAATTAGGTCAGAGGGGCTCAATGAGCAGAGTAACGGGTGCCTCTCGGGCCCCTTGCCCCTGGGTGGGCACAGGGTAGGGGCCGGGGAGAGCTGCACGGGGGCCTGGGGCATCACCCACCTTGGCCAGGCCCGCCCGGTGGGCCCCCTGGGACTCGATGTAGGCCACATATTTGTTGAAGTCCTTAAACTCCTCCATCGTTGGGCGAAACGTCATGATTTTACAACTTGGGTTCTGGGCCCCGTGATCCTCGGACCCCATGGCTGCAGCAGAGAGACGGCCACACCTGCAAGGGAGACAAGAGAGCGTCAGCACCTCCATCACTGCCACGGGCCGGTTCCCTTCTCCCCAGGAGGCACCCAAACTACCCGGCCCCAAGGACAGAGGCCAGGCAGCCGAGCAGGGCCAAGGGGAGCCTGGGGGCCACTTCATCACTCTCTCCGGCACAAAAGACCAAATGACTGCAATGAATTACTAACAGAGGTAGCCCGTTCTAAGAGCCCATGCGATGCTGGAGGCCAGAGCACACATTTCAAACAAGGGGCCTCGGAAATAAAACCTTTTCTTATCAGGGCCTCATCCAGATTCACTGGCATTGACCTCACAGCTGGAATCCAGAGGCAGAAGCACGGGAGGGGCTGGGAAGGTGAGTGAGGTCCTGTGTGTTTCACTAGCAGGGAACCCCTCCTCGGGCGGGGCCGCCACAAGCAGGGGAACAGTGTGTGGGTCCCTCCAGTACTGGCCCGGCTGCTGTCAGCGAACCCAGGCCCCAGTGACCACAGGCTGCCCAAGGCCGGGACCTGGAACCAGGAGAGCAGGAGGTCCAGCCAGAGAGGCTCATTTCCCGCCGTGTTTCACCCTGGGCTATAACCACGCCTGGCTGACCCAGCACAGAGCGTGGCACGGAGCATGGCGGGGATCGGGCTCCTCTAGGGGACAAGGCTGCAGGCTGGAGAGGCCCCCGCCCGTCCCAAGAGTTACGAGAGTTAGGGGGGCCCAGTGGGGTGGCTGGTGACCCACCCCAATGAGGAAGAGGCTTAGGGGACAGACTCTAGGGAAGGGTCCCTGCTGGGACAAGAGGAGACCAGACTCCCTCCAGGACTGGAAAGAGGTCAGAACCCAAGTGCACGCAGACCCAGAACTTGGAGGACAATTAACCAAGTCCACCTCCCCACACCCCAAAGTGAGCTGGGGAGTGAGAAAGGCAGGAAGCCCACCAGTCCAGGAAGTAGAGAGTGGGGGGGGGGTCCATGTCGCCAAGATGCAGCCACTGGCTCCCCAAAGGCGCTCCCCCGGCGGGCGCTAGAGGGCAGCACGAGCCCGGGAATGGGAGCCGAGGCGGGCAGCTGCCTGGGACAGACCTGGAGGCCCAGGCGGATACCAGACCAGGTCCAGGTCCTGACCTCAACCACCCCATGCCTGGGCGCACAGGGCAGCGGGCAGGCAGCTAAGGCCGCGCTCTGAAGGTCACACTCACGGCTGGACTGCTGGGGACCCCGGAGGTCCTGGCACACACGGGGTCACCACTGCATCCGGGCTGGGACCCCTGGGCCCCTCCACCCTGTGTGCACAGGATCCTCTGTCGCTCCTCCTCGCAGGGCAGCCAAAGCTGCGGTCCACAGGGCAGGCCACGGGTGCCCGGGACCGTGTGACAACAGCTCTGAGGGGGATCACAGGGAACCACCGAGGTCACACGGGTTTATAAAGGGGAAGGGTCATCACAAACCCCCCTGCGGACCAGCAGACACCAGAGGGCCCAGGCTGCGGCCAGGCTGACCAGCCCTCGGGATGGACCACCACGCCGTCCCCCACCCCGCTCCCCACCCCACAGCCAGGGCCCAGCGCCTGACTCCCCACCTGAGCCCCCAGAAGCCAGCGGCCCTCTCCCCTCCAGCCCACACCCAGCCACACGGGGCTCACCCAGGGCCTCTGCTGTCCTGAGGGAGCTCAAGGCCCCGGGGGGACAGGCCCGACCCGATGATCTGGGAACATGGGTGTGGACCTGAGCTGGGCTAAGGGCTGTGAAGGGAGGCACAGGGGCGTAGGGAGGGAGGCCTCCCGGGGCAGGGACCCGGGACAGGACACAGCGGGGACAGGACAGATGACCGGCCGCAGCCATCGCTCGCCAGCCTTCCTCGTGCGCCTGCCACCCGAGCTGCCCAGTCCTGTCAACCCCACCTCCCCACCCGCCCAGATTCCCTGTACCCACCACCCCTGCCCGCACAGAGCAGCAGAGGGGGTCCGTGCCGCCCACCCGTCTTGCATGGCCATCAAACCCGTCCTCTGAGGCCTGCAGCCGGAACACGATCACCCGGGTCTCAGCTCCTCGTCCCAAGCCCCCGACGGCCGGGCAAAGGGCCAGAGGCCAGCTCCGCAGCCCACCACAGATGGTGCCCAGATTCGGAAGCGGCGGACACATCAGCGCTTAACAGCCCCGGCCCTGTTCTCCACGTTTTATGTGGGTGGTGTGTCCACTCTGCACAGTTCACGAGGGGGCATCGCGCATGCCTGGAAGCCCGGCTCTGCTGCAACCATGCCAGTCTCCCAACACATCGCCACCCGCTGTGGGTGATGGGCACCAGGACCACCTGCAACAGCAACTCTCCTCTTGGCCAGGCCGGTCCCAGCAGGGGAGGAGGACACAGGCTCCCCCTCAAGGCCAGCTGTGTCACCACGAGAGAGGCCCACCCTGCCACGGATGCTGCCGCCTGCCCTCCCACAAGGCACTGTTGGTGGGAAATGAGGTGGGGCAGGACACCCGTCTCCCCCCAAGACCAGCCTGTCCTGGGCAGACGGAGGGCAGCCCCGGGGTCCTGCCCACACGAGTTCTCTCGCCCATTAAACATAACCGCAGGAGCGCTTTTCCCTGGGGGGCAGGGGGAGCAAGCAGGTGATACGACAGCAGGTAGAGTTTCCTGCACTGCACCTGGCATGATATGCTCCTCCAGCCACTGCTGTCATCCAGATTCAGCTCAGCAGTGGATCATGTGCAGTTTTCTTTTTTTTTTTTTTGTTTTATTCATGCCGGTTGCAGTAAAGTTTTTAGTAGGTAAATATAAAGGAGAAAATTCAAATGGTTTATAATCCCAACACTCCATAACCCTTGACACGTTTTTTGAAGGAGGGCAAATAAAAATCAGACGTGCACATACTTTAAAAATAACAAAAGGAATGTGCTCTTAACCAGACAGTGCCACGCCCAAAATGCGAGGTTCTAACAACTTCATCGTAAAAAGACAAGCAGCACAATTAAAAAGTGGGCCAACGACTTGAATAGACATTTCTCCAAAGAGGAGACTCAAACGGCCAGTAAGCACATGAAAAGATGCTTGAGGTGATCAGCCATCAGAGGAATGCAAATCTAAACTAGAGTGACACACACCTCCCCCAACTGGGGCGGCTAGAGTGAAAAAGCAGATAACAAGTGTTGGTGAGAAACTGGAACCCTGACTCCCAGCTGGTGGGAACGTAAAAATGGGGCAGTCCCCCAAAAAGTTAAACATGGAACTGACCACACAAGCCAGCAACCCCACTCCTAGGTATACATCCAAGAGAAATGAAAACATATGTCCGCACAAAAACTTGTACACAAATGTTCACAGCAGCATGATCCCCAACAGCCAAAAGGTGGAAACAACCCAAGTGTCCATCAACAGATGACAGTACACAAACTGGTCCCTCCACACACGGGCACATCACTCAGCCATGAAAGGGAGAGAAGTACTGACACTCACTACAACATGGATGGACCCTGAGAACACGATGCTCAGCGAGAGAAGCCAGGCACAGAAGGCCACCGCAGGCTAAGAGGTCTGGGTTTCTTTATGGAGTGATGGGAATGTTCCAAAGTTGATTGTGGTAAAGGCTGCAGGACTCTGAATTCGCTAAAAAAATCGTGTGCTGTAAGTGGGAGAACTGGTTGGCGGGTGGATTCTATCTCAATACAGCTGCTACCCCCAGAAAAGAAACAGAGATTAGGGTAGGGGAGAAGGAAAGAAGAAAGTTCTGCACTTGCCAAAAAAAATAATAATAAATAAACAAAACCTCTGGCTGCCTGGCAGCATGGGCGCCTGGAGCCTTCAACTCCTCAGCCCGCAGAAGGGCTCCCCCAGAGCCAAGCCCCCACCCCATGAGAGACGGAGGACACCCCGCAGCCCGGCCACGGAGGAGGCGTCTGCTGGGTTCCTTCTCTAACAGGAAGTGCGGCCTCCAGAGACACTTGGTGGGTCCCTGTCCCCGCCCCCGCCCCGGCCCAGCCCTTGAAGCCTCTAACAGGAAAGAGAGCGGCCCTTTCTTCCCACTCCTGATTCTGAGGCTGAGCGCAGGCATGCCTATAGGCTGCAACCACTGAATTTTACACATTCTAAATGGATGGAACTGTCTGCTTTGTGAATTACCTCTCAATAAAGCGATGATTTTCTTAAGTTCTGTGTATGGGGAGACCCTGCACGCCTTGGCCTTCCTGGCCTGACGCTCGCCCAGCCCTCGCAGTCCGCTGCCTGGGACGGATGAGCGTGATCACGCGTGGAGGGGCAGTTCCCCAGCTGTCCTGGACGGCTCCTCCTCACCCAGAGACAGGTGACAGGAGGGCTCCACCCGCTCTCTGGGTCCCAACAAATGAGTCCAGCCCAGAGAGGCCCTCCTGGGCTGCTGCACCAGCACCTCCCCCAGCGGCCTTCAAACTGGGGGACTCACGGGCTGGGCTATGGGGGACACTCTGGCCACCCCCGTGGAGGCTACCACCCGACCTGTGCTGCAGCACGGTGACCAGGTGGGGGGGGTCGTTCCCGCCCCAACCTGACAGCTGCTCCTCCCGGGGGCAGAAGGCTCTCCTGATCTGGACTCCGGCCTTGGGCTGATGCCCCCCGCCAGGAGCCCGACAGAGTGAGGTGCGCTGAGCCTGCGAGCCTCAGGGCGGGGGGGGTGAGAGACACCCCAAGGCGTGGGTCTCCCACAGCCGGGTGCACTCTGTCTGTCGGTCCGTGAGCCAGAATTCAGAAATAAGATGACTGGTAAGGGACGCCATTTCCCCAACAGGCAGCCACATCCTCCTGGCTGAGGGGCTCTGGGGACTAAGGGTTTCTGAGGTCCAATGGCAGATGTTTTCCAGAAACTGGATGGCTGGAATCTGCAACTCTGGGGTTTTGACAAGAATACAGTATTCAATATGCAGGAAGGTGCGTCCTCTGAAAAGAATGTCACCCTATAAAAGCTTTACTCTGAGGGGTGCACTGTTTTTGAAAAGGATTCCGGGGCTCTCTGAGCACAAAGTGCCCACAGTTCTTC